AATTTAATTTTAAAATGTTCTTTAATATCGAAACACAATTTAATTTCGAATACAGAAAGAAAATGTACCATCAAAAATGTATGTGAGGCTGAAAAGAGAATATTCAACAGTGGAAACTGCATATTCAAAATTAGAATGAGGAAAATAGTGTTTATGTTCGTATTCTATTATTCTAATGTGAAGACATTGCAACTGTGGAGAAAAATAAAAGATTCTGAATCAAGCAATCCAGACTCCTCTGGCTATTCCATGATTTAAATATATTAGTAAAATTAATGTATTCGAGCCTGAGGTCAATATTGTATTTTATATTATTTATCTAATAAATTGCTTCCAATACAGGGTGAGATAAAAAACTGCAACAGAGTCAAACGACATAATATTTAAGTTTTTTAAAATTTATTTTATTTTTTTGAAAGCAAAAAATGTCGGAAATAGCATCAAATTTTAAAATAAGTTTAGATTGGTCGAATTGGTCACCTTTGGCACGAATTATGGTCTTCAAACGGCCTGGAAATGAAGCGAGGAACCTCATTTTGTAACCATTCTTGAGTGGCCAACCGAAGTTGCACATTTTAAGCTGACCCCTTGACAAGTAAACACGATCATTTTGTGTGTTTACAAACTGCTGGACAACGGATGTTTTCTCATCGGAGAAAACCAAATTTGGCAGTTTACCAATTTCGACCAAGCTAAGCAACTCTTTTTGGTTTAGTTGCGGTGTAAGTTCTTACACTTTTTGGAATTTCAATGGTTTTACCCCGAGCTCATTTTTCAATATTTGCCAAATGGAATATTGCGATATGTTCAGCTCACGAGCCATTTTTCGTCCACTGCGACGCGGGTTTCGATCAAGTCGCTTCTTTACTTTTCGAACCATTTCTGCTGATGTTGCTGTTTTCTTCTATCCACCTCTTTGACATCGGGCTACGCTACCAATATCACGGTAACGAGCGATGGTACGAGACACAAAAGATGTATTCACATGTAAATGCTGGAGTGCTCTAACGATAGCCACTTGTTGTTTTCTACCCAAATAAGCAATATAATGAGCTGTCACTGGAATAATTTTAACAGCTGTCGGACGAGTGGCTTGAAAATGACAGCAGTCTGAAGTTTGTTGCAGTTTTTTTTATCTCACCCTGTATATTCATAATCAGCATAAAATTCTAAATCGATTAAAGGATGTCTGTCTGCCTGTCCGTCCATCGGTCTATCTGTTGAAATCACGATGCAGCCCACATTATTTGACGTAGAGCGTAAAAAATGTAGCAGAACAATTTGTATTGTGTCTATGATGGTTGGAATTGAAAATGAGATGTATCAGTCCACCTTTTAGTATAGTCCCCACAAAACGGTACCTCCCAATATTCAGAATTTTGATGATTTTTGCCACATTCTCCCACGAATTCGCCTAAAAATTGGTAATTGTGGGTCGTAAAGGGTTCTACCTCGTATGGCAAAACAATGTGTAAAGGTCCACGATTTACTATAGCCCCCATAAAAATCACATTTTTAACGGATTTGTATAAAATATGGTATTTGTTGGTTGTAATGGATTCTATCTAGCTCGTGAGGCGAAACATTGTATGTATAGGCCTACGTTTTGGTATAGCCTACATATAACGGTACCTCCCGACATTCGATATTTTGATAAACATTGGTAATTTCAGTTCATAATGGCTTATAGCCTGCTGGCAGAACATTGATATTTAGTTCCACGTTTTCCTATAGCGCACATGTAACGATAGCCACCGATATTCGGTATTTTTCTATTCCTAGTCACATTTACCCACATTTATAATTTGGTTTCAGATGGAACTAATATATGGGAGGCATATCTAATCCTGAATCGATTTTCGGAGATATTTTTATTTTTTATACCAAATAACATTGCTTTAGACTGCATGATATCCACTAAAATATAGTGGTAGTGTATTTATTTAAATAGCACTAAAAATATATATGTATCTGTTACAAACCACAAAAGTCAAACACAACTGTCTTGTGTGTGGACAAAAAAAATCTTGCAGGGTTCTACTGTTGCATTTTAATAATTTTCACAGAAAATATTTTTTTCTTCTCAAAAATCTGTGCAATGTTGAAAAATACGTGTCAAAAATAAATCAACATTTATTTTTAGTTTTCCAACTCAGAGCCGTGCCGAAAGGCGAACGAAGAGTGAGCTCAACATACACGATCGTGAATCGTGTGGGCTTCTCGTAATGAGAGTCAATTGGAAAGAGAGCCAAAAGTGAGAGAATGTAATAAGGAATCGTTGTTGGGGAGAAAACTATAGCACAGTGTAGGAATATTGTGAAGAACTAAAATAAATAAAATATTTCAAAAAGCGTTTTAATTTTGCAACATTGGCTAGGGAGTAATAAAATTGCATAATTTTAACATACATTTTTTTTAATTAATAGAATGTGATGAAAATAAAACCAGTACGGAAAACTCAAAAGTCGGACGGGCCGACGAAATGATACCCTACTCCACTATGCACGGTGAAAATCAAAGAATTTATTTGAAGTAGATCATACCATCTATCAACATTTGACTTTAAGACAGTTATAATTTGGTTTCAGATGGAACTAATATATGGGAGGCACATCCAATTCTGAATCGATTTTCACTAAATATGAGGCAGATATTTTTATTTTTTATATCACTTCGAGAAGGATTATATTAAAAAATATGTATCGGAGCCGAGTTCCACTAAATAGAAACGAACGTCCCGAAATTCATTCCATTGGGGCTGATATTAGCCATTGTTTGCACAATAAACCTTAAATAGGATTAAGGATATATATGGAAGCTATATCCAAATCTGAACCGATCTATCTTGATAAAATTTGACAGAGGTATTTCTGGGGTGTATCTGATACTTGGCATCAATTATCATTGTTGTCGAATGCCAAAATCCAGGTCATTTAAACCAATTGGTGCACAATTAACCCGAAATCGGTTCAAGATATACCTAAATTTTGACCGATTATCTCCAATTTCAGTAGGGTTCGTCCTTGGGTCAAATAAATTTAGTTGTGCAAAGTATCATCTCGATCGGACAATAAATGTACAGGGTGAGATGAAAAACTTCAACCAATTTCAGACTGCTGTCAATTCTAAGCCACTCGTCCGACAGGTGCTAAAATTATTCCAGTGACAGCTCATTATATTATTTAGAAGCATACAAAAGCATTTTGGTGAGAATTTTCCAGAAAAAAAGTTACTCGTGATGGAATTTAAGCCTGATAGTGTGACGTCCTTATATTTGGCTGGAAAACCATAAGTGGTTATCGTTAGAGCACTCCAGCATTTAAATGTGAATAAATCTTTTGTGTCTCGTACCATCGCTCGTAATCGTGATACTGGTAGCGTAGCCCGACGTCAAGAAAGTGGACGGAAGAAAACAGCAACAGCAGCAGAAATGGTTCGAAAAGTAAAGAAGCGACTTGATCGAAACCCGCGTCGCAGTGGACGAAAAATGGCTCGTGAGCTGATCATATCGCAATATTCCATTCGGCAAATATTAAAAAATTAGCTCGGGGTAAAGCCTTTGAAATTCCAAAAAGTGCAAAAACTGACACCGCAGCAGAAAGAAAATGGACTCAAAAGAGCTGCTTCGCTTTTCCGAAAGTGGTGAACTGCCGAAATTGGTTTGAGAGAAAACATTTGTTGTCCAGCAGTTTGTAAACAAAAAAAAAATGATCGTGTTTACTTGTCAAGGGGTCAGCTTAAAATGCGCACCTTCGGTTGGCCACCAGAACTCAAGCGCCGGCTATGGTGATGGCCGCTTTCTGCTCGTATAATTCGACCGTGGCATTAGAATAAATGCCGAATATTATCGCGAAAATATTCTGGAGGGTGTATTAATACCTTGGGCAGGCAAACATATTGGCCGCAGACCTTGGACAATCCAACAGGACTCAGCACCATCGCATTCAGCACGCGCCACTCAAGAATGGTTACAAAATGAAGTTCTTCGCTTCATTTCCAGCCCACAATGGCCACCAAATTTTTCGGATACCAAGCCGTTAGACAATTTTGTCTAGAGTATTTTGGAAAGCAAGGTTGGCACTAAAAAATACCAAAGTGTCGATTACCTCAAGCAAGCGCTTCGCCGGGAATGGACCAAAATACCGCAGTGCAACATTCGGGCAGCGTTTGACGGTTTCATTGGCCGTTTGAAGGTCACGATTCGTGCCAAAGGTGACCAATTTGAATAAATCTGAACTTATTCTAAAATTTGATGCTACATTGCCAACATTTTTTGCTTTCATTCAATAAAATTTAAAGAAAAATGTAAAAACTATGGAAATTGACTTTATTGCAGTTTTTTATCGCACCCTGTATATAATTTGTGGGGTCTAAATGTTCTATTTCAAGGTTTTACAAACGGAATGACATACTTAATATACCCTCAACACTATGATGTAGGGTTAAAAAATAAATGGCAATTTGCACATATCAATTGCTTTTGTCAACCAATTTCCAATTTTCATGCAATCGAATTTTAAATACCCTTATTTTCGTGTCTAACGAAAATTTTATTTTTCGTGTGATCTTTTTATAAGAAAATCATTCAAAAGCAAATAACCTTAATTTTTATAATGCTCAATGGAAAATCCATTATTCTTTGGACATTTTAGAAAATTAGTTTTTGTCTATCCTATTCTGAATTCGATTCGTTTTATATTCTCAATTCTGAAAAATATGAATCACTTTTTTTTCCCAAAAATTCAAAATTTCCCCCATTATGTTCTAAGCATTTCCCCCCAATGGCCACAGAACATTTTCATTGCCCTCGCATTGCCAATGGCGATGAGCAAGATTTTCACTACACTCAAAACTATATTCCCTCCGCTGTGATGAGGAAAATTTCAAAAATATCCTAACGAGCGGCCACACGAAAAATGACGAATGCCATGCTCTCTGTGTCGCCGTGCACACGAAGTGCCAAACGAATCTCTATGCTGAGCTATATGAAGATTGGCTAAACATTTTTGTGGCATTCTTCGCTCGCACCTCAAAAACGATCGACGTCTTGGTTTCAGTCTCGGGGATTATGACTTGAACCAATTCAAAGTAGAAAAAGAACCAAATACATATATCTAGAATTTAAAAAAAAGAAGAATATATATAGCGATATATATATAAAGCAAAGAAAAGAAGTATACATAGAGTTTTTATATTACAACAAATAAAACGAAGTTATAAATTTTTAGTGAAAACGATTTCAAGCATAAAAAGGATAACCAAAAAGTAAGGAAATTTTTGAATGAAAATTAAAAAGATATTTTTTTCGGGAAAAATTGTTTCGTAACAATTGATGAGCATGAAAATGAACTGAACAGAACAGAACGTTGGCTTTTCGCTGAAAATCTAAAAAAAGATTTGTGAAAAATATATATGTGTACATTTGGACGAGAGAAAATTTGGTGAAAAACTCAAAGAAATCCTATGAACAAATAATGAAAAATAGTTAAAAATTAATAACGGTTACGGTTTAACGGTTAACGGTAAAATGTATTTAATGAAAATGAAATTGTTTAAGGATTTCTTAGAGAAGACAAAAACTGTGTTCGAAAAAAAAGAAGAAATGAAAACTGTGGCAATATTATCTGCGTTAAGTTGAAGCTAAACCAGGATTAGGCTAGACTTAACGAAGATAATACAGACCCTCAAGTAGAAGTGGTGAAATTCTTAAAAATCTAATATTCAAACTACATATGTATACACATTGGTGTACATATAGATACATATATCTGAAATGACAAAATCTGTTGAAAATAAAATCATGATTCACAAGTGTTAATCATAAAAAGAAATTTGATTTGATTTTCTTTGAATAATATAAAATTTGAAAATAATGCTGATGGTGGTGTTCATCCAAGAATAACGTGTACAAAATCCAAAATAAAAAATTTTTTGAAATAAATTAAAAATAGATTTTGAAAATCAAGAATACGCCATCCTAGCGAGTGTGTATGACTCTAGCTCTGGTGCCATCAAAAAATAAAAAAAAAATCAAAGATGTTTTCCTTGCCATTAAAAAGAGATGGCAAATGACAAAATCGGCCCAACCAAAGGAAGGGGACATCGTTTGAAAGCAACCCATTTAAAAATAGACAACGAAGAATAGAGAAAATGAAAAGCAACGAACAAAAAAAAATGAAAACAAGAAAATTATGTGAAAATTTTAAAGTTATTAAAATTAAAAATAAAAATAACCTTAGAAATAATTGGTACCATAAATGTTTTATGAGTGGACCAAAAAAAAAAAGAAACCATTCGAAATTTCTGGAAACAATTTCGAAAAATAATAAAAAAAAATCAACTTCAAATAATAATTGAAAATTCTGACCTCCCCTTTAATTGTTCCCTTTTTTCCTTCTTTTCCTATTTTCGTTTCCCCCTTTTTTGCAGCACTTTTAAACGAAGCAAATTGAAGAAAATTAAAAAGAATATAAATAAGAAAAAGTGTAGCAAAAATTAATTAAAAAAAACAAACGGTCATTTATTTTGTGCAAATAAAATAATTAAGAAATTAAATCAAGCAAACAGAGAAGAATTTAAGAACGACCGTAACGAAGAAAAGTTTTTTTCAAAAGACGCTACACTGCCGCAGCCGTCAACAACAAGTGCAGTACTCAACAACACGCTGTGTGTTGCGAGAAAGTGATTTTTGTTTTGGTACACATTTTAAATGCGCTATAGTGTTATATAACGATCTAAAATGCAACGGCAAAATCCCTCGAACCAGCAACAGCTGCAACAGCATCAGCAACAACAGCAAATCATGCAGCAGACTCAGCAAACAACAATGCAGAGTCACCAAGAAATGCATCAGCAACAAAGGATCAGCCGCACTGAACACCACGTTCAGAGGAGTCAAGTTACCACTCACCAAAGAGGTCAGTCTCACAGCCAAACAGCCAAAGAAATTAAATGCTCAAACAACCCACAACAACAACCGCATAACAGCTTTTATACATATGTGCCTATGGCTGTATCCACACACATACATATATTTGCCATCCCATCCACCCACTCACCTACATTTGTAGATGTGCAATGGTATATTGAAATGAATTCATTTGGCTATTTCCGCCTCCACCCAACTTTCTTTTTTGGCTCCCCGAAACAAAAAAAAATGAGGAGAGAAAAATAAAGAGAGAGAGAGAGAGAGATTGTGTGTGTGAGAGACGGATCTCATAAAACCAAATGTGTTTATCAACTGATATATAATGCTAGTATTAGTCACTCAATTCTCTTTTCGTATACATGTATATACATATGCTCCTGATACATTTGCATATAACATAATACATATGCAGTCATATACATATGTATTTATCTATGTATTTGCTTCATTTTCCAAACTCAAGTGCGCCGTCGCCGTATACATTTTCTTGTTATGATGTATACATAAAAATATGCTTTGCATCATTTTTTCATCTTCTTCTGCGAGTGCATCATCGAAATAATTCTCAAAAGAGATCAGTCAGTTCGAAATTAATTACCATGAAATGGAAAACTCATTGAGCTTTTGTACTTCTCATTGGGAATATCTGTAGAATTTTAAATGCAATGCAATTACTTAGATTCCAGGGATTTAGAGGATAATGAAAAGATATTTGAAATTATAAAGGCAAATTGTTCGTTTAAGTCTATAAGGAGGTGATCCAAAAACCGTATCAGAAACTAAATTCTTGGGCTATGAAAGAGTAAAATGAATATAGGTACGAAAATGGATTATATCGGTCCACACCAATCCAAAAGGGTCAACATTTTGAATAATTATAACTCTTTTAAAATGTGATGTGTGTGTCAGATTGTCTTCAAATTACACACATCACAATATTTTTATTAACCCAAGGTCTGGTGTGAAGACGAAATACATTGGTCCATTCCTTCTGGCACCTCCCCCACAAAGGGCCAAAATTTCGAATATTCATGAAGCTCATAAAACACGAAATTGACATCCGATTCCATTCATAAAGATGGTAGAGATCGGACTATTTCTTCTGATACCACACCCCCATAAGGGTCAACGTTTTGAATAACAAAAACGATCATAAAATCCGAAATAAGCATCCGGTTCTTTTCATATTTTACACATCACAATATTTTTATTAACCCAAGGTCTGGTGTGAAGATGGAATGTATCGGTCCATTCCTTCTGGTACCTCCCCCACAAAGGTTCAACATTTTGAATATCCATGAAGCTCATAAAATTCGATTCCATTCAGAGTTGCTACATCTCAATATTTCCATCCACACAAGATCTGTTATAAAGATGGCACATAGGATTCAAGATTTTGAAAAACAAAACGCTCAAAAAAAGCGAAATAAACATCCAACTCTCTTCAAATTGCACATATCCAAATATTTTTGCTAACGCAGGATCATATAAAGTATAGAAAATATTCGTTATAATCCAAATTTGGAACGTTGTAAAATTTATATCAGTCTTAGGTCAGATACGAATTCAATATTGACCAAGGTTTCTTTCAATTTCTAATCAAAATCATTAGGTTCTTTCCATGGTAGAAGAACATAGGTAGTACAGCTGCTCGTGACAGTACAGTGAAATGTCAAACCAATTTTGAAATTGAAAATACTGAATGAAAAATTTATAAAATTCGTTAAAATTGAATTGAAAAATTAGATTGGCGTCATATAAGAAGATAAATAACGTCGACGTTTTGTTACATATGCTAAGGTTCAAAGAACGTTCACTGCGAATATAAGTGTATTTTAATAATATTTCAAATATTTAATGTTTACCGATATTTGATATATGTTCTCAAAAAATTAAAAATTTTGATTTTATAGAATAACGAAATTTTGAAAACTTTTCAAAAATTATTTGTAAAAGCGTCTATTTTTTTTCTAAAAAATTGTTCAGTAAGCATAACCACGTACTACCTATAGGAATTGATGAAGCCACATCTGGTTGGTGCTCATCTTAGCACTCAAAATTACCAAAATTTTGAAAATATTTTTCTTTTATTTCTCTTTCGAGATTAACTTAATGATCTGAAATTCGCAGTAAAAAGAAAAGCCAAAGAGACGCATTCATCACTATGCGACGCGTTTCGCCGTTGGTTAAGCCGCTCATCAGGCATGTTTGATGTGGATGAACTTAGGCACATGCAAAATTATGCACCAGAAATCCGACACAATTTTCTTACTCTTTCAAAAAAATAATAAGGCCAACATTTTTAATTTTCAAAATTATATGTTTGACAACATTTCATTTTCCAAATGTATATTCAAATGTGGTTTCATTCGACAAGACAAACCATAAAAAGCAGAGCTTGGCTAAAATCTTGCTCGATGAAAACAAGAGAATATATAATGAATGAAAAGGAGGAAATATCAAATGAAAAAAAAATAAAATAATAAAGTAAATATTTTTTTTTTTTCAAATTTTTATAAACAAAGATCTAGATCTAGATTAAAGATCTATTTGAGTTGAGGTTACCTGCGAAGACAAATTATATTCTGTGTTATAATTTGTAATACTTATTTAAAAAAAAATAAATTTTCTTTCTGAAAAAAACTAATTACTTTAACTTAATTTGTAATTTAACTTGAACGTGGCACACATTCCATGCTATTTGTAATTTCTTATAAAATTTCAAATTTTATATTAAAATACTACATAATTCTTTATGTTACTTTCCAAAATTTTGATATAAGGCCCAAATAAGGCATATAAGGTGCATAATTTTACAGAAACGAAGATTTCATATGTTTTTTTTTTAATTTTTAAAAAGCATGTAAAAAACTACGTAAGGGGACAGATCAATAATAAGTCCATGACTTTTTAAGTTACCATCGTTTCATTCAAGTATTCCCTTTTTCCAAAACAAATATTTGTATATGAAAAGGGAAACATTTTTAAAAAAATGTTTGTGTAGGTAGTACGAGTCATCTGTCAGTATTTAAAAAAAATCGAAATTTCGAACACTAATGTCTGGAAAAACGAAAAATCGGAAAATTTTTCTGAGTACATTTTTCCACATCAGTGGGCCCAAATTACTCTAAAAAATTACATTTTCTCAAAAATAAAAATAACAAGGTAAAAAGTGCCCTCTGAAATTTTTCGATTATTTAAAAATATTGAAAATATTTTGACTTCTGTTATGATTATTCAAATTAGTTTTCAAGGCCAGGTTTGGACTATATTGGTTACTTCCTTCACTTTATATGAGACATGTGATAATTTTAGAACATATTGAAATGTACGTGAGGTACAACATATTTGCAGAAGATATAGGTCTAGGCAAAATTACAAGAAAATCGAACACTTATATCCAATTTTATGCGAAATCATAAATTCCAAATTCCTCTCAGGATTCTGTTTGAGAGAAATATTTAGAAATAGCAAGTTGTAAAGAATCGCTGAGTTGTTTCACAATTTATGATAGAAAAAAGTTTTGAAAATTGTGACACTTTTTGAGTGAGGTACCAGAAGATTTTCACAGATATATATCGTCTTCACAACAGATCTTATGTTAGCAAAAATGTTTGTATGTGTGAAATTTGAAGAGAGTCGGATACTTAATTCGCCTTCTTTAGGCGTTTTGTTTTTCAAAGTTTTGAACCATATGTAGGGAAGGTACCAGAAGGAATGGTCTGATCTCTATCATCTTTAGAATGGATCTTGTGTTGATAGAAATATTGAGGTGTGCCAAGTCTGAATGGAATCTGATGATAATTTTACGTTTTATGAGCTTCATGGATATTCAAAATGTTCACTCTTTGTGGGGGAGGTACCAGAATGAGTGGACCGATATTGCCCATCTCCGAACTCGATCTAAGTTTGACAATAATATTACAATGTACCAAGTTTGGACCAAATCGGATACTTCCTTTGAGAGTTATCGTCCGCACCAGCCAGCCAGTCAGACAGACGGATGGACATCGTTAGATTGATTCCAAATGTCCTGACACAGATTTGGTCCAAAGAGACCCAGGGTCTAAAACCGATATATGCTCTCTCCAGCCATAGCCGGATTACAAATGGCACTCGCTGAGTTTCATCGATGAAAACAATATTTCTAAATTTTATTTTGAGTTGCTACTCAAAAACTGTGCATTTTAATGATACCGACTTTTTTTCGATAATTACCGAAAACTTACAGAATTGCACCACTGATATATCAAAAATTTGACAGTAAATAAATAACTAAATTCATAACTTGAAGGAGTTTAAAATCTGATTTTAAATTGGAAAATTAGGATTCTCTGTCCTAATTCTAAATTCTCGAATTTTCATTAAATCATAATGTTCTATTAAAATAATTATATGCATATATTTAGCGAATCTCTTGATATTATTCATAATGTATATATACCCGCATATTAATATTTAAAGAGAAAATGTATCGAATATGATCATCACATCATTATTTTGGTGCCGTGTGAAAAATATATATGACTTGTATTCTAATGTAGTTTCTTCTGGTCGGTAGATAGATTCATTGCCGAAAATTATATGTATGCCAATTTAATGATATACACATATAAATCTCATGATAAGTCGTTATTTAATTACGTAGAAGTAGAATTCCGAATTGGAAAAGTTTTGCCAAAGTCCCTCCAATATTTTATTTTTGAAAGAATGTTCTTTTGATGTTTCCTTTTCAAAATATACAAACTTACTCGAAATATGACTAATTTCGAATTACCATTTTTGTGAGATGGATTCCTTTTTAATGGCAGTTAATACCACCTCAATACCCCCCAAAGGGTATGCAGCTCAATATTTATTTTCAACAATTTCTCCAGATTTTCTTTTTTTTGCATTTGGAATTAACATTCCATGGCACTCACATCATCGCCGTGCAAGAATAACAAGTAAATCTGGTGAAAAATATATGATTTGTATATCGCAGATACAGAGATAGATAAGATAGCGATAGGTTGATCATGGAATTTTATCTCAAATATTTATTCATTACGGCCTTGCAGTTGTAGCACTGCCGGCAAACGAAAAACAACTCAGCCGTTCACGAGAAATTTAAATAAATAGAAATTCGAAAAGAAAAGAAATCAAGCAAACACAAACACACACAAAACAGCAACAAATAAATTTAGGAAATAGAATATCGATCCACTCAAACACACACACACACACTCATACACAGTGGAAATAGTCAATTGATTTACATATCACATCGCATCGCATCACTATTTCAAAACCCAAAGTAAAAAAGAGCAATTATTTAACAAACAGCTGCTGACCTACTCTTTATTCTCTCTCTCATAATAACCTCCCTCACTACTCTCCATGACCTGAATTTAATGTGTCGTTTTTCTTCTTTCCAAATTCCAGTGGAACAACATGGCGGCTCCTATGTACCACCCGGTATTACACATATCTACTCGCAAGGCGACATCTCACCACCGGTATTCGAAGAAATCTTCAAGAATGCTCGCTTCGCCCAGGGCGGCAACGCTCTGTTCGAAGGCAAGCTGCGTGGCAATCCCAAGCCATTCGTAACCTGGACTCGAAAAGGCGCACCACTTCTCGAGTCTCAAAAGTTCCGCATGAATTACAACGAAGCCACCGGCGAGGTATCGCTGCTCATCAATCAGATCGGACCTGGCGACGAGGGTGAGTACACCTGCACCGCCCGCAACCAGTATGGCGAAGCCATTTGCAGCGTCTACATCCAACCGGAGGGCGCTCCACCAATACAGCCCATTCAGAAATTCGAAAAGAATCTGTACACCAATGGCTATGCCTTTACCTCGGTTGAGGAAGAGTTCCGTGTGGATACCTTTGAGTATAGACTTTTGCGTGAGGTATCCTTCCGGGAGGCCATTACACGCCGTGCCACCTATGAACAAGACTATCATCTGAGTCAGGAAGTGGATCGCAGCATGGGCCCAGCTCATGCTCCCCAAATTGCCCAGAAGCCTCGCAACTCGAAACTTGTTGAGGGCTCAGATGCTGTATTTACTGCCAAGGTGGGTTCCAATCCCAAGCCCCGCCTCACCTGGTTCCACAATGGCCAACGTTTGGTACAATCTGCCAAATACGACATCTCCTATTCCAGCGGCACAGCCACCATGCGCATTAAGAAGGCCACTCACAAGGATGCTGGTCATTACACTTTGTTGGCTGAAAATACTCAGGGCTGTGTTGTGTCTTCAGCTGTCCTGGCCGTTGAACCGGCTGCCGAGTCGGCTCATGAGCCCAAGCCTGTGGATACCACCGCAGAACAATTGGAAGCTGGCAAGGCTTTGCCTCCCACCTTTGTCAAGGCCTTCATGGATCGCGAGATCACCGAGGGTCGCATGACCCGTTTCGATTGTCGTGTCACCGGCAATCCCTATCCCGAGGTCTACTGGTTCATCAATGGTCGCCAGGTCAACGATGATGCCACCCACAAGATTCTGGTCAATGAATCCGGTAGCCATTCTCTGATGATTACCAACGTCAGCCGCACCGATGCTGGCACCGTCCAATGCTTGGCTCGCAACAAGGCTGGTGAAATTGCCATCGAAGCCCAGTTAAATGTGCTCGAGATGGAGCAAGTTGTCGCACCACAATTTGTCCAACGCTTCAGCACTATGACTGTGCGCGAGGGCGAGCCCATCACCATGAGCGCCAACGCCATTGGTACACCAATGCCACGCATCACCTGGCAAAAGGATGGCGTCCAAATCACCTCAACCGCTGATCGTTTCATTGGCATCGATGGCGGTGCCACTTGTCTAGAGATACCACGTGTCAAGGCATCCGACGCTGGCTGGTATCAGTGTACTGCACAAAACGCGGCCGGCTCAACAGCAAATCGTGCCCGACTCTATGTAGAAGTTCCCAGAGAACAACCACCAACAGAACAAAGACGTCTGAATTTACCAAGACCCACGAAGATCATCGAACCAGAGTAAGTATCTTGACGGAATCGACTCCCTGAAAAAAAAAAAATAATAATCAATCTGTCTCATCTTTTAGGCCCCAGCCTGGTCCAGAAGTTATTTACTTGCGTCATGTTGAACGCGCCAAGCCCCAGAGGCGTCCCGGTGAGGAAGAACGTGTCTATCCACCACCACAATTCATTGTGCCCTTGCAAAATGTCCAGCAAGTTGAGGGTTCCAAAGTGCATATGGAAGCTCGCATTGAACCGGTTGGAGATCCAACCATGGTAGTTGAGTGGTTCCTGAATGGCCGCCCCATGGCTGCAAGTAAGTTATTCGCATTTATGCGTTTTGAAAATTATTCTCACATTTTGCCTTTTTCGCCTTAGGCTCCCGTGCCACCTCCGTATTCAAGTTCGGTTTCATTGCCTTGGACTTGTTGAGCGTCATGTCTCACGATTCCGGAGAGTATTTGTGCCGTGTGACCAATGCCTCCGGCGTGGCCGAATCTCGTGCCATTCTCTCAGTGACTCAGCGTCCCTCCATTGAGCAAACTTCCCAACACCCAAGCAGTTTGGAATACATTAGCAACTTGGAGGACTACTCGCGTTACCAGCGCCAAGAGAGCACTGAGGAGTTCATGAAACAGGCTCCAGTCTTCATTAGGCCCCTGCATGATTTGGGTGACCTCGAGGAGGGCAAGAATGCTCACTTCGAGGCCCAAGTCAATCCAGTGAATGACCCCACCATGCGTGTAGAGTGGTACAAGGATGGTCGTCCCATCACTGCCAGCTCACGCATCACCGCTATCTTCAACTTCGGTTATGTATCGCTGAACATTTTACATTTGCGCGCCGAGGACACCGGCACCTATACCGTTCGTGCTGTCAACAGCATGGGCGAGGCCGTGAGCAATTCCAATATTCGCGTAAATGTTCGATCTCAAGTAACTGCTGACCTGGGTATACCAGAGCAACAGCGATACATCGAAAAGGTAGAGGAGTTGGAGGACTATAGAATGGCCCAGAAGCGTCGTCATGTCCATGAAGTTCCCGAGCCCATTGCTCCTCCCCAATTCAAGACTCAAATTCAAAATCAAGTCGATATGCGTGAAGGTGGACATGCCCACTTTGAGGCACGCCTCGAACCAACTGGCGATTCCACCATGCGCATTGAATGGTACAAGGATGGTCAGCCATTGGAGGCCAGCTCCCGCAGCACCACCTTCTTCAACTTTGGTTATGTGGCACTCACCATCAAGCAATTGACCATCTATGATGCCGGTACCTATACTTGCCGTGCCTATAATGCCATGGGCGAGGACATCACCACAGCCCAATTGAGCGTCATTTCCAAGCACGAAATCGTCTCGGATTCCCAACATCCCGGTGGCTTGGAGAAGATCCAACATTTGGAGGATTCTTCCCGCTACGGCCGTAGCGAAGAGGAGGAGGTGACCGTTAAGCAAGCTCCCCGCTTCTTGGGTCCCATGAAGGGCACCAACAAGATCATTGAAGGTCAAAAGGCCCACTTTGAGGCCCGAGTTGAACCTCAAAGCGATTTGACAATGAGCATTGAATGGTACCACAATGGCCAACCCATATCCGCTGCCACCCGCATTCAACCATACTACGACTTTGGTTATGTGGCTTTGGATATTACCCAAGTTCGGGCCGAGGATGCTGGTGTCTACACCGTGGTGGCCCGCAACAAGCTGGGTGAAGCCCAATTGCAGGGAACAATGGTCGTTGAAAGTAAGTAATTTTTTTTTAAATATCTATAGAAGCTGTTTTCCTAACTTCGCTTTAAATTCCAGCTCGTTCCAGCATCGACACATCCAGCATGCACCGTGGCCTCTATGAGAAGACCCAACACTTGGAGAACAAACAATTCGTTGAACCTCAATACGACATCGAGGAAATCTCCAAGTCCAAGCCCATTTTCGTACAACCTTTGTCGGATCCCAAGCCTTTGCACGAGGGCAAAAACATTCACTTGGAGTGCCGTCTCGAACCAATGGGTGATCCCACCATGCGTGTTGAATGGTTCCACAATGGTCGTCCCATTACCGTGGGATCTCGTTTCAGAACCTATTACGACTTTGGTTTCGTTGCCTTGGATATTATCCAAGCCACCGCATCGGATTCTGGCGAATACACCTGCCGTGCCACCAACCATTTGGGTAGTGCCCACACTTCGGCCTGTGTCCGTGTCATTGATCGTTCCGACATTGTGACTGAAACCCAAAATGAAATGTCGTTGGAGCACATCCAACAGCTGGAGGAAGCCTCCCGCCGCCACTACACCGGCGAAGAGGACATCACCATTATGCAGGCTCCTCAATTCACCCGACCTCTACACAACATCGAAACCATGGAGGGCACCAATGTCCATTTGGAATGCCGTCTGCAACCAGTCGGTGATCCCAGCATGCGCATTGAATGGTTTGTCAATGGCCAGCCCCTGAAGACCGGTCATCGCTTCCGTCCAGCCTATGAATTCGATTACGTAGCCCTCGATTTGTTGGGCTGCTATGCCGCCGATTCTGGTGTGTACACCTGCCAGGCAAGAAATCAATTGGGCGAGGCTGTTACCTCCTGCTCTGTCCGCATTGTGGCCAAGAGCGATTTAATTATGGAAACTCAAAATGAGTCTGGTCTGCAGAAGATTGCCTACCTTGAAGACTCGTCGCGTTACCGTCGCAGTGAATACATCGACGAGGAAATCGTTACCATTCCTCCACGCTTCTTGACACACCCCAAGAGCCTTACCAATACTCGTGAAGGTGGTCGTGCTCACTTCGAGTGCAAAATCGAACCAGTTACCGATCCCAACTTGAAAGTCGAATGGTTCAAGAACGGCCGTCCCATCACCGTTGGTCACCGTTTCCGTCCCATCCACGACTTTGGCTATGTAGCCTTGGATATTGTCGACCTTATTGCCGAGGATTCCGGTGTCTACACCTGCCGTGCTGTCAACGCCATTGGCTCGGATGAAACTCAGGTTGAGCTTTTGTGCCGCAGCTCCGAGCAAATTGTTACCGTTACCCAAAATGAGACCGGTCTCCAACAAATCCACCATTTGGAAGATCGTTCCCGTTACTCACGCCGTGAAGAAATCGATGAGACTACCAAACAGGCCCCCGTCTTCACCACTTCCCTAAAGAATGTGGAGATCAAGGAAAATCAACGTGCCCACTTCGAGTGCCGTTTAATCCCTGTCTCGGATCCCTCCATGCGCGTCGAATGGTACCACAATAACATGCCATTGAAATCGGGTTCCCGTTTCACCGAAACCAACAACTTTGGTTTCGTTGCTTTGGACATTATGTCCTGTTTGCCCGAGGATGCTGGTACCTACACCTGCCGTGCCTACAATGCCATTGGTGAGGCCATCACCTCGGCTGTAGCTATTGTCCATACCAAGAAGGCCATCTACTCCGAGTCTCAGCATGAAAGTGCCCTGCCACGCTTGCAACATTTGGAGGAATCCACGAAACGCCAACGCATGAGTGCCCAGGAAGAAATCATCACCCAGGCACCTGTCTTTACATTGCCCGTGCGTGATTCCCGTGTAGCCGAAGGTCAGGCTGTGCATTTCGAGGCCCGTCTGATTCCCGTTGGTGACCCACATTTGAAGGTCGAATGGTTGCGCAATGGTCAACCCATTGAGGCTTCCAATCGCATTACCACCATGCACGACTTTGGCTATGTGGCTCTCAACATGAAATATGTCAACCCAGAGGATTCCGGTACCTACACCTGCCGTGCTACCAACGAACTTGGACAAGCCGTTACTTCGGCTTCTTTGATTGTCCAATCGAAGACATCCATTCAAATGGAAACTCAACATGAGGCTGCCATGCACAAGATCCATCAACTGGAGGATCACAGCCGCTACCAACGCCGTGAGGAAGAAGAGTACGTGGTGACCCAGGCTCCCAGATTTGTGACCAAACTCATTGGTCCCACCAATTTGGTTGAGGGACAAAGTGCCCATTACGAATGTCGCATTGAACCCTATCCCGATCCAAACCTCAAGGTTGAATGGTTCCACAACGGCAAGCCTTTGAACACTGGCCATCGTTTCCGTACCACCTACGATTTTGGCTTTGCCGCTCTCGACATTTTGACCGTCTACGCCGAGGACAGCGGTGAATACACCTGCCGCGTCACCAACAATTTGGGTGAAGCCATCAACTCGATTGTCCTCAATGTTCAATCGCGCTCCGGCATCAGCCATGAAACTCAACACGAAGAAGCCTTGGAAAAGATCCACCACTTGGAAGATGCTTCCCGCTATCAACGTCGCGTTGAAGAGGAAACATACATGGCCGAGAGACCACAATTCGGCCGTCCATTGCGCAATGTCAACACCAACGAAGGCAAGCCTGTCCATATGGAGGCCACTTTGACGCCCGTCAATGACCCCACCATGAAAGTGGAATGGTACTGCAACGGAGTACCCATCCAAACCGGTCATCGCTTCAAGACCACATACGATTTCGGTTTCGTAGCTTTGGATATTTTGTATGCCCATGCCGAAGACACCGGTACCTACATGTGCAAGGCAAAGAATGCTGTAGGGGAAGCTGTAACGACTTGTGCTGTAAACGTAACAGGTAAGAGTTACTCGGTAGCACTTGACAGGTTATGTGTTCCAAAATTCGAAATGGTAATTTCTGTTTTCCCATTCCAGCAAACAAGACATTGGACCTCGACACTCTCGATGCTGAGCGCCTGGAAAAGATTCGTCAACTGGAGACCCATGCCGCTCCCAAGAAGGTGGAAGTCGAAGAGAAGGGTCAAAAACCCATTTTCCTAACTCCTCTCAGCAATTTGGAACATCTGAAGGAGGGCGAACACGCTCACTTGGAGTGCCGTGTCGAGCCAATCAATGACCCTAACTTGAAGATTGAATGGTTCTGCAATGGCAAGCAACTGCCGCTAGGTCATCGTTATAGAACCACCCACGATTTCGGTTATGTTGCCTTGGACATCCTCTATGTCTATGGCGAAGATACCGGCACCTACATGTGCAAGGCCACCAATTTCCTAGGCGAAGCTGTGAACACCTGCAATGTGCGCGTATTGAATCGCCGCAGCATGATTTTGGACACCCAACATCCGGATGCCTTGGAGAAGATCCAGAAATTGGAATCCAAGGTTCCCGTGCGCCGTACCGAGATTAGCGATCAACCCATCAGCCCACCTCACTTCAGTGTTGAGTTGCGTGGCAGCACCGAAATTTACGAAGGTGAAACTGCCCACTTTGAGGCTCAAGTTCAGCCCGTGCACGATCCTAATTTGCGCATCGAATTCTATCACAATGGAAAGCCATTGCCCTCGGCCTCTCGTTTCCACATCACTTTCGATTTTGGCTACGTGGCCTTGGATATTACCCACGCTGTGGCCGAAGATGCCGGCGAATATTCGGTACGTGCTGTCAATGCTCTTGGTCAGTGCGTGTCCTCCACCAACTTGCGCGTCATTGCCCGTGGCACCATCATTTCCGATACTCAACATCCCGAAGGTTTGGAGAAGATTCGTAAACTGGAGTCGACTGCTCCCTTCCAACGTCCCGAGTTGGAGACACCCGGTACCAAACAACGTCCAGTCTTCACCCAACCCTTGCAAAACATCGATCGCATCAATGAGCACCAGACCGCTCACTTCGAATGCCGTCTCATTCCCGTTGGCGATCCCAACCTCAAGGTTGAGTGGTACCGCAATGAGAAGATCATTGAGGACAGCTCTCGCATTACCAAACAACACGATTTCGGCTATGTTTCCTTGGACATTTCTCACATTCGCAAAGAAGACGAAGGTGTTTACATGTGCCGCGCCGTCAATCCCCTGGGCGAGGCTGTCACCACCGCCTCTATGCGTGTCGTTACTGAGGCTAGTATCCAAATGGATACTCAACATCCAGACAGTATCAGCCGCATTCATCAGTTGGAGCGTCCACCAGCACCTCGTCCCGTTGAGCCTGAGCGTGCATTCGAAAAGCCTATCTTCACCCAATTGCTTACCGGTCCTTCGGAGGTATGGGAAGGACAACATGCCCACTTTGAGGCTCGTGTGGTGCCAGTTGGTGATCCATCTCTGAAATTCCAATGGTTCATCAATGGCGTCGAATTGCAAATGGGTTCGCGTTTGAGGACCACCAACGACTTTGGCTTTGTCACTCTTGACATTAGCTCCATTGTTCCCGAAGATGCCGGTGTCTACATGTGCCGTGCCTACAATGCTGCTGGTGAGGCTGTATCCTCTACGGCTATGAAGGTCAAGACTAAGGCCAACATCGCTGGCGAACCCTTGATTCCTGAGTCATGGGAAGCTATTCGCTTGAAGGAAGCCTCCATGAACCGTGTTCCCGAAATGTTCGTGGACACCACACCACAACAGGCTCCAGTCTTTACCACCCATCTGCAAAGCTACGACAAATTGAGCGAAGGTCAGCACGTCCTTCTGGAAGCTCAGGTGGAACCTCGTGCCGATCCCAATTTGCGCATTGAATGGTTCAAGAATGGTATTTCTCTTACCACTGGTGCGCGCATCCGCAGCACTTTCGATTTCGGTTTGGTCACTTTGTCCATCAATGGCTTGCGTGCCGACGATTCGGCCATCTACACTTGCAAAGCCACCAACCAAATTGGCGAAGCCGTATCCACTTGCTCCCTCAAGATTGAAGATCGTCATTGGTTGCAAGCCGAATCTCTGCATCCTGATTCTTTGCCTCGCATTGGTGAATTGGAGGCCCCCAAACCTGGTCGTCCTGAGGCCGCTGAACCTGTCTACGAGACTCCCGTCTTCATTACTCATTTGAACAACATTGAGTGCAAGGAGAGCGATAGCGGTCGCTTCGAATGCAATGTTGAACCATCACGTGATCCTACCATGAAGATTGAATGGTTCTACAATGGCCAACCTTTGCAAGCCGCTGCCAAATTCAAGTCCATCTACGACTTTGGCTACTGTGCCTTGGACATGTCCAATTTGTATGCTGAGAACAGCGGTATCTATACTTGCAAGGCCACCAACAGCAAGGGCTCAGCCACCACATCGGGTACCTTGAAGTGTACCAGTGGCAAGATTATGTTCCTCGATACCCAACATCCTCAAGGCGAGGCTGGTATGGAGGCCATCAAGGAAACTGAGGAGGAATTGGCGAATCGTTATAACCGCGATGTTGTCAAGCCAGAAACCCAATATCCTGCCCCTGTCTGGACCAGACCATTGCAGGCTGAGTTCCATTTGTCCGAAGCTCAACCCTTGCACTTGGAGGGTAATGTGGAACCCAAGGAGGATCCTAACCTCTTCATTGAATGGTACTTCAATGGCAAGTTGTTGCAACACGGTTCTCGTTTCAAGATGACCAGCGAATTCGGTTTCGTCACCTTGGACATGATTGAAGTGTATGCCCGTGATCAGGGTATTTACACCTGCAAGGCCTACAACAAGGCCGGTGAAGCCTTCACCTCAACCACAATCTTCTGCGACACCAAGGAAAGCATTATCGAAAAGACCCAACATCCAAAGGGTGCCGAAGGCTTGGAACAAATTCAAGACTTGGAAGAATCTCTGCGCAAGGATGGCAGCAAACCCGAGAAGGAAGAAGAAGGTATGGCTCCACGCTTCACCACTGAATTCACCAACATTGCCGACATTGGTGAGGGTGAAATTGCTCACTACGAGGCCAATCTTATCCCAACCGGAGACCAAAGCATGGTCATTGAATGGTTCTTCAATGGCAAGGTTTTGGAGGCAAGTCACCGTGTCCGCACCATTTACGCCTTTGGCATGGTTGCTTTGGAGATTTTGGGTACCAAGATTGAAGACACCGGTACCTACACTTGCCGCGCCACCAACAAATATGGCTCTGCCGAAATTAGCTGCACTTTGGAGTGCGTTGAGAAACCACGTGGCCAGAAACCAGTCTTCACCACCCACATCAAATCCGTGGAGGGTCTTAAGGATGGCCAATCGGCTCACTTCGAATGCACTCTCATCCCAGTCAACGATCCCGACCTTAAGGTGGAATGGTACCACAACGGCAAGCTCATGCGTCACTCGAATCGCATCAAGACCGTATCCGATTTCGGCTATGTCGTCTTGGATATTTCCTACTTGCAAGATCATGACAGTGGTGAATATGTGTGCCGTGCCTACAACAAATACGGCGAGGACTTTACTCGTGCCACCCTCAACTGCCGTGGTCGCGGCGGTGTCTTCTACGACAGCTTGCAACCTGATTCTCTGCAAAGAATCAGAGAATTGGAATGCCCTCAAGGCCATGAGGTGCCTTCGACACCTGTTGTCGCCGAACCACCCAAGTTCATTACCCAAATCACCGATGTCACCAAATTGGTTGAAGGTCAAAGTGCTCACTTTGAGGCTCGCCTTACACCCATCACCGATCCTGATCTTAAGGTGGAATGGTTCTTCAATGGCAAGAAATTGCCACATGGTCATCGTTTCCGTACTTTCCACGATTTCGGCATTGTTATCTTGGACATTCTGTACTGCTATGAGGAGAACTCTGGTGTTTATGAATGCCGCGCCGTCAACAAATATGGCGAAGATGTGACCAGAGCCACACTCAAGTGCACATCCAAGGCCAACTTGATTTTGGACTCTCAATTGCCACGTGGCATGGAAGGTGGTTTGGAGAAGATTGCCAATCTGGAGTACAGCATGGTACGCACTCGCGACGAAACTGTTGAGGAAAGCAAGGGCAAGGCCCCCATGTTTACTGTGCCCCTGGAGAACATCGACAACATGCGTGAGGGTGAAAATGCTCACTTCGAGGCTCGTGTTACACCCACAGATGATCCTAAACTTCGCGTCGAATGGTTCTGGAATGGCCGTCCTCTTAAGGCCGGTTCTCGCTTCCGCACATTCTGTGACTTTGGCTTTGTTATCTTGGAAATATCGCCCGTCTACCCAGAAGATTCGGGTGAATACTCCTGCCGTGCCATCAATGAGTATGGTGAAGCTGTGACCACAGCCATTATGAAGATTCAAGGCAAGCGCAGCATCATTATGGAATCGCAATTGCCCAAGGGCATGGAAGGCACCATTGATCGCATTGCTGAGTTGGAAGGTTTGGGTGCTCGCAGCACGGAGTTCGTGCCCGACGATGATACTGGCAAGCCACCAGAATTCATTACCACACCCTTCGACATGGTGATCAATGAGAATCAATTGGCCCACTTTGAGTGCCGCCTGCAACCCATCAACGATCCCAGCATGCGTGTTGACTGGTTCCACAATGGCAAGGCCTTGTGGTCTGGATCACGCATCAAGACCATCAATGACTTTGGTTTTGTTATTTTGGAAATTGCCGGATGCTACCAACGCGACAGTGGTCTTTACACCTGCAAGGCCACCAACAAGCACGGCGAAGCCACAGTGTCGTGCAAATTGCAAGTCAAGGGACGCCAAGGCATCGTCATGGAACCCCAATTGCCATCTAACTTCCGTACCGGCACCGAGAGCCTTCAGAAGCTCGAAGAGAACATGCACAAACGCGAGGAGATGGTCATCGATGAGGAACAACCCAATCCACCTAGATTCACTGAGGACATCAAGGACAATTTGGATGTCCAAGAAGGTGGTCCCATTCACTTTGATTGCCGTGTCGAACCTGTCGGCGATCCCACAATGCGTATCGATTGGTTCTATAATGGACGTCCTTTGGCCACCGGTTCCCGAGTGCATCAACTCAACGACTTTGGCTTCATTGCCTTGGACATTGACTACATTTATGCTCGTGATTCTGGTGAATATACCTGTCGTGCCACCAACAAATGGGGCACTGCTACCACCACTGCCAAGGTTACCTGCAAGGGCAAGAGCAACATTGTCTACGACACTCAATTGCCTGATGGTATGACTGCTCAAAAACTTAAGGAATTGGAACAGGGCCGTATTCCCGATGTGCCCAAGGAGGAAGAGGTCGATTTCGGACCACCAATCTTTGTCACAGAAATTGCCTCGACCACCGTCGAAGAAGCTGAAGCCGTACGCTTCGAATGTCAAGTGGAGCCTAAGAATGATCCCAACTTGCGCATTGAATGGTATCGCAACGGCAAGCTGTTGCCTTCGGGTCACCGCTACAGAAATATTTTCGACATGGGCTTTGTATCGCTGGACATTTTGTATGTCTATGCTGAGGATTCGGGTGAATATGTATGTCGTGCCTACAACAAGCACGGCGAAGCACGCACCAAGGCCACCGTGTCATGCAAGAAACTGCCATCAATTATGTTGCAAAATCAAGTGCCACGTGGCATGAAACGCTCTGAGACCTTAACCCAGATGGAGGCTACAATCAAGAAATATACCTCCGAGGTACATTTGACCGAAGATGATCTTTTCGATCCGGATCGCAAGCAACCACCTCGTTTTGTGACCCAAATCAAGGATCAAACCACTTTGACCGAAATGAGCAAGACCAAGTTTGAATGTCAGTTGGCACCGGTCGGTGATCCCAACATGAAGGTGGAATGGTTCTTCAATGGCAAACCATTGTTGTACAGTAAGTTGAAGCTGCAATTTAATGTGACTTTGTTTGATTTACTCATATTTTTTGTCATTTTCTTTCGCAGAGAATCGTTTCCAACCTATCTACGATTTCGGTTATGTAGCCATGAACTTTGGCTGGATCTATCCCGAAGATAGCGGTGAATATGTTTGCAGGGCCACCAATTTGTATGGCAAAGATGAGACCAGAGCTGTCATTAAGGTAGCTGGTAAACCAGGCATTGTCTATGACTCCCAATTGCCAGCTCATATGCACAGCATTGATCGCATTCGCGAAATGGAAGCCTCTTGGCAAGTGTAAGTATCAAGTGTCAGTTTATTATTCTTAGTTTGGAAGAAAGATAGGACCAATGTTAGGAATTCAATTAAATAATGAAAGTTTCGGAATACATAGTGAGATAAAAAGAAACTGCAACCAACTTCAGACTGCTGTCATTTCTAAGCCACTCGTCCGACAGTTGTTAAAATTATTCCAGTGACAGCTCATTATATTGTTTAGAAGCGTACAAAAGCATTTTAGTGAGAATTTTCCAGAAAAAGGTTATTCGGCATGGAATTCAAGCGTGATAGTGTGATTTCTTTATATTTGACTGCAAAAACCCCAAGTGGCCATCGTTAGAGCACTCCAGCATTTAAATGTGAATAAATCTTTTGTGTCTCGTACCATCGCTCGTCAAGGAAGTGGACGGAAGAAAATAGCAAGAAATGGTTCGAAAATAAAGAAGCGACTTGATCGAAGCCCACGTTGCAGTGGCCGAAAAATGGCTCGTGGGTTGAACATATCTCAATATTCGGCATTCGCCAAATATTGAAAAATGAGCATTGGGCAAAGCCATTGAATTCCAAAAAGTGCAAGAACTTACACCGCAACAGAAAGAAAATAGACTCAAAAGAGCTAAAGACTTGCTTCGCTTGGCCGAAAGTGGTGAACTGCCGAATTTGGTTTTCTCCGATGAGAAAACATTTGTTGTTCAGCCAAAGAGGTCAGCTGAAAATGTGCACCTTCGGTTAGCCACCAGGACTCAAGCGCCGGCCATGGTGATGGTGTGGGCCGCCATAACACCCGATGGTCGCTCTCCGCTCGTATTAATCGACTGTGGCATCGGAATAAATGCCGAATATTATCGCGAAAATATTCTGGAGAGGTTTATTAAAGCCTTAAAACGTTTTGGCCGCAAGGTTGACACTAAAAAATACCAAAGTGTTGATCACCTCAAGCAAGCGCATCGCTTAGAAGGGGCAAAATACCGCAGAGCAACATTCGGGCAGCGTGTGACGGTTTCATTGGCCATTTGAAGGTCATAATTCGTGCCAAAGGTGACCAGTGCGAACAAATCTAAACTCATTCTAAAATTTGATGCTATTTCCGACATTTTTACTTTCATTCACCAAAATTTAAAAAAAATTAAAAATTATGGCGTTTGGCTTTGTTGCGGTTTTTTTATCTCGCCCTGTAAATAATATTTACATCCTGAAATGCAATAAAACGCAATTTGTTGTCATAATGAAGACAAATTCGACGCTCGAACAAACCGAGAACAGCCGACAATGGTTATGTCTGAGAAAAAAGAGAAAATTCTTTTGCCAAAGGGGCAAATATTTGAAAGCCCCACGTTGGGCGCCATGAATAATGATTACATACTACAAATGCAATAAAATCCAATTTGCTCTCACAACGAAAAAAATCGACGTTTGAAAAAAAATCAACTTATCTTAAGCAACTACTTGCGAAACAGAACAAATCTAAACCTATTCTAAAATTTGATGCTATTTCCAATATTTTTTGCTTTCATTCAATAAAATTTAAAAAAAAATGTAAAAATTATGGCATTTGACTTTGTTGGAATTTTTTTTATCTCACACGTATTCCAAAATTGTTTCAATATCCTGAAATCAAATTATTTTATTATTTCTGTTCACTTTTGTTCCAGTGTTCCCGAAGAAGTTGATCCTGATGCCAAGCCTAGATCGAAACCCATGTTTGTTAGCAAACTGGAACCACAAACCGTGGAAGAGGGCGAACCTGCTAGATTCTGTGTGCGTGTAACTGGCCATCCCAGACCCCGAGTCATGTGGTTGATCAATGGCCATACAGTTGTATCTGTAAGTTGTACTTTTCTAAATGCCTAAACAAACCAGGAGAACTAACCTCATTTCCCGCTTATGTTTAGGGTTCACGTTACAAGCTCACAAACGATGGAATGTTCCATTTGGATATTCCAAAAACACGTCAATACGATACCGGTAAAGTCGAAGTCATTGCTCGCAATTCTGTTGGCGAATCAATTGCCTCAACCGAATTGAATGTTGTGGCCCGTTCCGATGATTTCCGTGGCGTCCTTAAGAATTCACCACGTCGTAAGTATTGCAATATTATTAATACAATTTTTTTTTTATTATTATTTTCAAACACACAAAAGTTAAGCTCTATTCACCACAAAAACAAAACTGAAAATAACACCACCAGAAAAACAAGCTTTATTTTTTTGAAAATAGTTTATTTTTTTTATTGATTGATATTGAAACAATAACACAATTTTAAAACCACAAACCTGCCAAGTGAATTTTTTTAGTAAACGAAACTTAACAAAGAATACATGAGGACATTGTAAAATATACATACAAGCCACATTTAAATTTCCAATGAAAAAATATAAAAAATCCAAAAACTTAACTGTCCACAAACTAAACACAAATGAAAGACCCCACAAATCACAAGAACCAAAAAAAAAACACACCTATTATTTCCAAACAAAACAAACACCCTCCTTCCCTCCCCCTTTCTTTCCCATTCCTTCTTTTTCCTCCCCATCCTTGTCTCTCCCTCTCTCTCTCTTCTGCTCCATTTGTAAATATTCCCGTTCATCATATGCAAGCTGCAACATATCAACGGTTATCTAGTAGTGCCCCCAAAATTCAATATGGATTGTGGGAATGAATCACCAAGCGACGCTTTTCTAACCTAACCTAACAAAAGTCTGGAAGTGGTGAATATAAGGATTCTGAGTAGATGGGTAGTATAATGAAGAATAACAATAAAATGTGTCTGTGTGTGTTCTTTTTTTTGCGTGTAACCCCCAGTATCAGCTAAGAAATCCCCATAATTTACAAAATAATTTTATGTATACGCTATGGAATTGTGTATTCGTTTCCATTGCATTTCACATTGTTTTATATGACAATAATTCTCAATTAGTTCATAGTGATTTATGTGGCAGTTGTTAAATTTTGTTTTTTGTTTTTATCAAGCATGTGTTTTTTGTTATTTATATTCCTTAACATATAGCGTATTTGATTTTTTTAATGTATATACTACCGAAAAAAGTACCATAATAGAAGTAGCACTTCTAATATCAACTCGGTAATTTTTGAAATAAAACCTATACCAATATTTTTTTATTCAATCTAAGATATTTTGAATATGATTCTATATTCTATTCTATACACCAACGAAGAAGAAACCTGCGATGGCAATAAAAGGCTTTTTAAATAGTTTTTAAATTTGGTAAAATGTTCCAAAATTGGTTTATCTGTTTATGACCAACGACAATATCATACTTCTCTAGAACCGAATCGTCCTCATGACCTCGTAAAATGCAGTGGTGTCCTATTCATGGAGCCAAGCGTTCCTTCGTTTAATAGCGTCAAAACCGATTCAAAATGAGAAAGATCCCTTTCATTTAGATGAGTCAAAGGGACAAACATTTAAAAACCCCACGTTGGGCGCCATTCATACATAAACGCTATTTACTACCTAAACTGCCGTAAGATTCATTTAAGTGCCGCAACCAAGACAAGTTCTACTCGTAAAATTCTTCGCATATAACTTTTCGATTTGGGACGACAACTTTCTTAAGATATAGCGTATTCATATTAGATGTAGCACTTCTATAATTTTCGAAATAAGAAACACTTAATAACATATTTTATTCAATCGAAAATATTTTGAATGTAATTTTATTGTTCTAACGAATAGAAAAAAGCCTGGATGTGAATTAGAAGTGGTGCGATTCTCTAACTCATTTTTTGAATTGCCGAAAAACATCGTTAAAACCAAAATGCATTTTAAATTTGGTAGAAGATACCAAAAATATTTTGTCTCTTCTTAGAACTGTAACGTCCTCATGACCTCATAAAATGCAGTAATGTTTTCCCGTTTATGGAGCCAAGTGTTCCTTCCTTTAAGAATGTCAATGCCGATTCAATATGAGAAAGATCCCTTTAATTTAGATGGCCAAACGGACAAATATTTGAAAACCCCACGTTGGGCGCCATTCATACATTAACACTATTTACAACCTAAACAGGCGTAAGATTCATTTAAGTGTCGTACCCAGGACAAGTTCTATTCGCAAAATTCTTCGCATATAACAGTTCGATTTGGGACGATAACAACGACTTATATCTCCTTTTAAAGATTTAGACCGCTCCGCAAGTAGTTGATTTAGATAAGTGGTGCGATTCTCTAACTTATTTTTTGAATTGCCAACAAAACTCGTTAAACTCAAAATGCTAATAACTTCGGTAATTAAGAAAACTTTAGGGACCAAAATAAAATAGGTGCAACTAGTCATACGGTTAGCGTTAGAGTTGCCAACTTTAATTTAGACTTTTCATTCATAATTTGCGTTGTAATTTTACCGACATTTATCGGTAGCTCACAAAATTAGATTTAGAGAATCCCACTACAGGGTCGACCGAAAAGAAAACAGACAGAATACATAACAGCGTGTATGAGAAAAAGAGAACATACTCTAAAGATTGTTCTCTTTTTTCTCTGTTTGGTCAAACGTCGGATTTGCCTTAGTTAGCGCATCTGGACATTTTCAAAAAAATGATTTTATAATCTTAACAAGTAAAAAATCAGCTATGTCCGGCCGGGCCGAACAGCAACATTTCACTTGACAAATTAAAAAAAAATCCGTCGAAAAATTCCGCTCAAATGAAAACCTTTATATGGGGGCTATATCAAGACGTAGTGCTGCATAAGTAATTTTTAGCTAACGTAAAGATTCCGAACTTCAAATATGAAATTCGAAACAATTTCGACAAATAATTTCGCTAATATTATCAAAATACCGAATAAAGGGAGGACTATACTAAGACGTGGACCTGCTTGTTTTGTCATAGGTTGTAGTACCCATTACGAACTTCAAATATGAAATTCCGGTGAATTATGTCGCAAAAATCCTGGAAATACCGAATATCTCGGTGAAGCGTTATATGGGAGCTATACTAAAACGTAGACCTATATTGACAATTCTCTTCCAGGAGGTAAAGTGCTCAGAAGGAACTCCTTGTGTGGATTATAAGCCAATTCCATTGAATAATTTGGCTAAAATCATCAAAACACTTAATATCGATGGGCACTATTGTATGGGGACTCTACTCTACGATATCGTGAACCTATATAGAAAATTGTCTTTCAGGGGGTAAAGTACTCAGAAGGAACTCCTTATGTAGAATTTCAGACAATTCCATTGAACAGTTATATGGGGACCACTCAGTATGTAAATATTATTCATGTACGAATGGCGCCCAACGTTGACCTTTCAAATATTTGCCCCTTTGGCAAAAGGATATTTTCCTTTTTCTCAGGCACAACCATTATCGTCTGTTCTCGATTTGGTCGAACGTCGAATTTGTCTTCGTTATGGCAACAAATTGCAGTTCAGGATGTAAATATTATTCATGTATGAATGGCGCCCAACTTGGGGTTTTCTAATAATTTTCGGAAATCTTCATTCAAACCTTACCATGTAGATCAGTCATTCTGAGCGATTAAACATAGAAATAAAAGCATTTATTCTCTTCGTTATGCCTGCCGGATGCATGCGGTTCGTATATTTGTGTTTAGCCGAAAAACTTCGTCACTATCGTGTGCCGATCCTGATTTTGATCGAGCATTGGCCGTTACCAAAAAGTACGAAAACTGGATTTCATAATGCAAACCTCACATTGGGCGCCATTCTGACATTAACAATTTTTGTAAGCACGGATCTGAGCCATCATAAATTTCAATAAAAATAATAGGCACTGTTATTAAATTAAATTTTAAATCAACTTGTTTAAGCCAAAATCTGAAAAATTAGAGTGTGTCGAATATCTTTTTTTCAAATTTATCGTAACTAATAACAGCTTACTAAAAACTCTCCCTCAAAAGAAAATACTAACACCCATGTATATATTTATTATAAAAAATATATAAATGTTAAAAAAATCAAAATTTATATTCAGTGACCTTATAAAAAGGAAGACACTTCCAAGCAAAGAAAAAAAATGGATTTCTGTTTATCCGTTCGATTGTGTTGTGTAACCCCAAGCAAATTCCAAACTTCTCAAATGTTCTCTTTTTTCCCATTAATTTCTAACCTCTTTAGCTTGGTACGACTATGAACTGACTGCCTATCAAAAGGAACGTCAAGAAAACGAACTTGAAAAGGTATTCGATGAACGCAAGCAATATTTGGCCGAACAAAGTGGTACCACTTTGAAGGGCGTTGAACATCTCAAGCCCAAGCAATACAAGGCTGAAGCTCCGGAATGGCAACAGACTGTGCGCAAGAAGAAGACCGAAGATTATTACAACAAATTGCAGGAATTGGACAATGAACTGCTATTGAAGGAAGTCAATTTGCGCAAGGATAATCATCAGTATGCCATTCCTGGCGAAAAGATTGTCAGCAGTTCACAAGCCAAGGGTATGGCCCAGTCCTATGAGGAGAACTTGTAAGTAGAAATTGGACAACAATGGACAAGTTTGCATTCTTACCAATAATATCCATCTCTCTCTCCTCTTCTCATCCTTACAGACAAGAAGAAAACACCACAAGCACTACCAAACGTGTCGTCCAGCAAAAGCCCGTGGAACCGTCTGAATCATCGGTCCATGGCCGTGAAGTTCACATGAACAAACAACAACAAACCCAAAAGGAAGTTGTCGGCGACATGGAGATTACCCGCAAAATAACCGCCACTGAAACAACTGAGGTAGAACACAAGGGCACCATCCAAGAACGTGTGGTCAAGGGCCCCGTTAAGCCAGCCAAGCCACCAGTATTCACCAAGAAGATCCAGCCCTGCCGTGTCTTCGAGAATGAACAGGCCAAATTCGAAGTTGAATTCGATGGTGAACCCATGCCCAAGATCAAATGGTTCCGCGAAAGCTTCCCCATTCAAAGCTCACCCGACTTGCAAATCCACACATTCAGTGGCAAGTCGATTTTGATTATTCGCCAAGTGTTCGTTGAAGACTCGGCCGTATTCTCTTGCATTGCCGAGAACCATGGAGGCACCGCCAAGTGCAGTGCCAATTTGGTCGTTGAAGAACGCCGTCGTGCTGGCAAGGGTGGCATGGCTCCCCCCAGCTTTGTAAATACCATTCAAAGCACTACTGTGACCACCGGTCAGTTGGCTCGTTTCGATGCCAAGGTCACCGGTACCCGTCCCATGGATGTCTACTGGATCAAGAATGGCATGAAGCTACAGCCCAGCATTAAGTTCAAGATGCTGGAGGAGGACAATATTCACACATTGTTGATCATTGAACCAACTGCCGAAGATACCGGCCGCTACGAATGTGTTGCCGTGAATGCTGCTGGCGAGGCTCGCTGTGATGCCGATTGTGTTGTTCAATCCTCAGCCAAACCCGAAAAACCCACTACCCCGGGTGTAGAGAAGGCTCCTCACATTGTCGAACAATTGAAGAGTCAGTCTGTGGAAGAGGGTAGCAAGGTAATCTTCCGTTGCCGCATCGAGGGTAAACCCACTCCTACGGCTCGCTGGATGCGTGGTGATAACTATGTGAAGCCTTCACGTTACTTCCAAATGTCCCGTCAAGGTGAATACTATCAGCTTGTCATCTCCGAGGCCTTCCCCGAAGATGAGGGCACCTACAAGTGCATTGCCGAGAACAAATTGGGTAGCATTCAGACCAGTGCTCAATTGAAGGTGCGACCAATTGAGAATTTGGATGCTCCACCCACCATTACCGCTCTGAAGGATGTCAGCGTGTCGGAGGGTATGCCAGCCCAATTTAAGACAACAGTGACGGGCAAAGTGAAACCAACCAGTGTTCAGTGGTTCCGTGAAGGTGCTTTAATTCCGGAAACACCAGATTTTCAAGTAAGTATATTTCACTTTATTTTCGTTTGAATTTTGTTTTAATAAATTTAGTGCTAGTGAACCAGATTCATAGAATTACTTTCTGAGTCGATTTATGTATGCCAATTCGGCTGTCCGTCCGTCTGTCTGTCCATGTATTCTTGTGAACAAAATGCAGGTCGCATTTATTATCCAATTGGGATGAAATGTTCCAAACAATATTTTTTTTTTTTTGGCTCACGGACGAACCCTATTGAGAATCGGTTCTAATTTAGATATAGCTGCCATATATATCTTCAACCGACTTCGGGTTAATATGCACTAAAAGGCCAATATCAGTCCAAATTACCTGAATTTTCTTATGTCCGACCAAATTTAGTCTAGAAACAAGTACATCCAATATACCTGTTTCATCCGATTTGGGAGTTAAAGTCCCTCACACGCGTAATATGCATTCCACAACAATGATCTTTGGTGCCAGATATTAGATACAGCTCTAAAATAATTGTACGAAATTTTGCTAACATCGGTTCATATTTGGATATAGCTCCCACATATATCTTCAACTGATTACGGGTAAATTGTGCGAGCCAATATCAGTCCAAATGACTTGAATTTTGGCATATCCGACCGAATTCAGTCTAGAAGCAAGCAAGTATTTTAAGTCCCTTACATTCGTAATATGCATTCGACAACAATGATATTTGGTACCAGATATAGCTCAGAAATACTTTTGCTAAATTTGATCGAGATCGGCTTAGATTTGAATATAGCTTCCATATATATCCTTTATCCTATTTCAGGTTTATTGTGCTAATATAAGCCCAAATGGAGTGAATTTCGGGACGTACGTTCCCATTTTGTGGAACTCGGCTCCGATATATTTGCTTAATATATATTTGTTTCCTCTGAAACCAAATTATAAGTGCTCTAAAGTCATCTATTGATAAGTTGTATGATCTACTTCAAATATTTTTTTTTTTTGCTACGGGAGCTCTACCAAATATGCATAGTGGTGTAGGATATCATATATTCGGCCCGTCCGACTTTTGACTTTTCCTTACTAGTTTTAATGTGTATTTTTGCCAACAGATGATGGGATTGCTTTTTTAATTTTTTTTTTAATTTTTTTTTTTTTTTTTTTTTTTTTTTTTTTTGACGAATATCGATTTCGATCGCTCTCGAACAATGTCCAACAAAAATTATTGTGTATCTGTAAAAACAAAAATTGAAAGAGAAAATTAAAAACAATTGAAAGAGAAAATTAAACTAAATTCGTTCTGAGAGAACTGCTTTACCCAAAGAGTACGAGAACAAAAATCTGGCAAAAATGTCAAAACTAGATGTAAAACCTTCAAAATCAACTATCATCAACTGATCAAAAGCTTGCAACCTTCCTATTTTTTTACACAGCCAAGTAAAAGAATATGCCACAATTTGTCTATAAGTTTTGATAGTTTTTCAAGCATACCTCCCCCCCCACTAAGAGTCAAAATTTTGAATGAATATTACTTTTGAGCCGATTAGGCTCAACTTAAGCAAATCCCAATATTTGTATTAACAAAGGATCTGGTGTGAAGCCTGTGGCAGAAAATTGCCTATGCATGTCTAGGTCTTCGTATATCCCACATATAACGGCACCTCCCTATATTCGGTATTTTGCTGATTTCAGCGACATTATTCACCGGAATGGTTTCAAATTTCGTATTTGCATTTCGTAACGACAAAAAATTGTCTATGCAGGTCTTTGCATAGCCTCCCTATATCCAGTATTTATATGATTGTAGCTACATTATTCACCGGAATGATTTCAAATTTCTTATTGACACTTCGTAACGAGTACTACAATCTGTCACAGAAAATAGTCCCTATGTATCGGTACTTCGCTATATTCGGTATTTTCATGTTTTTTTTTTTTACTTTGGAGGTTTCCGAATTCGTTACATTTGGTAGAGGGTATTCAAAGTTCGGTCCTGCCAAACTTACTACTTTTTTTCTTGTTTGTTTTTATTTATTTTTTTTTTTTTTTTTTTTCTTCTAAAATATTACTAATTCAAAATCTCTCTTTACTTCATCTTCATTTCAGATGATTTTCGATGGCAATACAGCCGTACTATTGATCGGAACAACCTATGAGGAAGATTCCGGTGTATTTACCGTACGTGCAACCTCATCCACAGGACAAGCTGAATCATCGGCCAAATTAACTGTAAAAAGTAAGGATTAAACATAATGATCAAACAAATCAAAACACAAAAAAAAAAAATATTGAAAACCTATTTTAAACAAGTCCCTATACGATAAAAAGAAACAACAACAAATACCTTACACATACACAAACTCCCCCCCAACAAACTTAAATACCAAGATCATATAGAGCAATTGATTAAAAAAAAAATTAAAAAATTGAAATGAAATCAGAAAAAAACGAAATGAAAATGAAAACGAGAAAATGAAAAATTAACAAAATCAGCAACAGTTTGAAAGATAATCCATTTTTTTGCAAAACAAAATTCCAAAATTATTTGGCAAAAAAAAAAATTAAACGAAGTATCTTCAAACTGTGGTTGTTCTACTAAACTAGTCTATAATATTAGGTTTGGATTACTTTTTTTTGTCCAAATGAAAAGTGTTTGCTATTTTCAATGATAATTTTTTGAATAGAAATAATTAACTCGAAAAAAAACTACAAAAAAGTATATACTAATTTATTATTTATTAACCCCTCGAATGAAGTGAAAAAAAGAACTAAAAAAAATAAAAAATCTCAAAAAATGAGTTTAATAACAAGAAAATGTCAAAAATAGATATTGTTATGTTTATCTTGATACTTCAGACAGGTATTGATTCTTGAGGGGAAATTCGGAGAAGTGTGGAGTTAGGACTTTACCTTTTTTCTTTTCTTTGGAAATTTGCTGGCCTTTTTTTTCAATTTTTTTTTTCAAATTACTGTTGGCAGATTTATAAAAGCTGAGCCTCGAATGAGAAAAATATAAACAAAGCACACGTATTCTCTTTCGATTTGTATATGCCATTGATTTGGCTAAGCGAGAAAGTCCCTTACAACTACTAATACATATATTGTGAACCAGGCTATTTTACAAGCTTTATGGTCCCTTAGTGCGTATAATCGCTGTCATAACTCATACGTCACGTTTACTTATTGTATACAGTACAAATTTTTATGCCCTCCACCATTCTATGGAGGTTATATTAACTTTGTCATTCCGTTTGAAACTCCTCGAAATATTTTTAATAGACCCTACAAAGTATACATATTCTGGATCAGCATAAAATTCTATAACGATCTAGCGATGTCCATCTGTCAAGCTATCTTCGAACGAATTCAGATTAAAGGCTAAAATTTTGCATACATGCATAGTTTACCAGTAGGCAGGTTAAGTTCGTGAATGGCCCACGTCGCCCCACGTCTTCGTATAGCTCCCATATAATGATACCTTCCGATATTCGGTATTTTCGTGATTTTAGCGACAGTATTTACCGGAATTATTTCAAATTTCATATTTCATACTACAGCCTATGACAGAAAATTGTCTGGGCAGGTCCATGACTTCGTATAGCCCCCATATAACGGTAGCTCCCGATATTCGGTATTTTTATGATTTCTGCGACATAATTCGTATAGTCTTCATATAACATTTTTCATTTAAGAGGTACTTTCCCGAAGTTTTTATTTTAAATTTTCCAAGTTCCTTCCAAATGGTGGGGATTATTAAAAGTTCGGCTCGGTCGAACTTAGCTGCTTTTTTACTTATTATTTTTGCATTTTTTAATGCAAAAATTTTTAAAATTTTCTCACATAACTCAGATTTCTTGACCTAAAAAATCGAAAAAAAGCCAACCTACAATATTTTTTTTTACTTTCACTCTATATACATGTATGCGTAAATGTTCACCCTTTAAAAGGGCCCTTTCACAGGCCATCCCTCTCTTTTCTTTCTCTATCTCCCTATCTCTCTCTCGGCAAACGACCAGATGAATCACATCAAAACGTATTGAAATTTAGGTGATGCTATTTTTTGGTTTCTTCTTCTTTTTTTTTTTTTTTTTTGAAAATGATTCGAAACAGATTTTTGAGTCAACATTTTTTGGTGAGGGCTCGTGTGCAAAACGCACATCCACTCCTACATAAATACTTAGTAATTAGCATAAAATATAGCGGTGCGGTGTGCGCTTATATGTATTGGTTGGTTATTCTGCCTGCCTGCCCGCCCGCTTGTCTGTCAGTCTTTGTATGACACAAAAAATAGCAGTTTTCCAAATCCTTTTTCAGTCAAAACCAAAAAAAGATGCAAAAATATTGAAACATTTCTAATTTGGACGCACAACGGTTGTTATATCTGCCAGAATGGCCGAATGGCTGGTCGAGAGTATCTATGTCCATATGCCTATACATATGAGGGAGTGCGTGTGTGTGTGCGGCACACCAAATGTATTTATTACATACAACAACAATAAATCTGAGCTATACAAAATTTGAAAAACCAAAATACGTGCGCAAAAACTGTTTCTTTTTTTATTGAAATTATTTCTAAGAAAGAAAAGATAGCCATCAATATATGCCAGCTAATTTCCATTTTCCAATTGAATTGTCTGAACAACAGAAAGAAAATAATAACAAACCTAGAAATTTCCAATTAAATTTGAAATAAAACAACATTTAAAAGGGTTATGGGATATAAAGTTTTTATTCTTCATTTTTTCTGTTTTCTCAAAATAGGAAAGTACGAAAGAAAAATGCAATTTCTGTTTTTGTTTTCATTTTATTAATTCACAAACAATTTATCACATGTCCAACACATATTCTTACAACATACTTACATGTTACAATCCCCAACAAAATACAGCCCAGACAACACCAACAAAAAATAATATTCTGTAAAATTAAAAATTTACGAAATTCTTTTTTGGCACATATTTTTATAGTCTTCTAATGATTCAAATTATGATTGTCATGTGGCAATCTTTTCTTGTCTTCGCCTTCGATCTTCTGACCCGGCCAACATCCCTCACGGTCTTGCTTGGTCTTGGCCAATTCTAATGAGATTTCGGCGGCGGGCGTGATTAATTTAATTAATTAAAACAAAAAAAAAACATAACAACAAAACCTCATTGTTTTGTAATTCGTCAGCTCTGTGTTGTTGATTCATGTGTTTCTGCTGTTTGGTTTGAAGAGCCGCAAACAATAAACAACAATGTCAGATCAAATCAAATGCCAGTCTTGACAGCCAAATCTAAAATAGAAAAAAAAATATATTTATAAGAAAAAAAAATTGAAAAAAAAAACAATTTTTGAAAAAAGCAAACCTTTTTCTTTGGACAATAAAATGCAGCCAGGAAACTGAAACAACAAGCATCTTTAACAGCAACAACAAATCAAATGAAAATTAAAAAAAAAACAATCATAACATCCTTCGTTTATAAAAAGGTTTAACTATTATTAATTTATATTTTTTAGTTAATATTTAATTGTAATTTTTATAAAAACCAAAAAAAAATATTTGAAAATTTTGTTTAACCAAAGTAATTTTTTTAAAAGAATAAATGTTAACAAGCCAATTAAATAAGTTTCAAGATAGAAAACCCGAACTTTGTAGTGTAATAACGCCAATGATGTTAGGTGTAATTTTCACCATACACCCAAAGAGATCGAATATTCACATTTAAGGGGCAGTGTTGCAAAATAGTTGCAAAATAGTTAGCAAAGACACTTTTTCACCACTCACGGTTAGGGGATTAACTAAAGGTTCAACAGTGGGGAAATTTCACACTACTGTGTTGAAAATATTAAGAAGTTAGCCAAGGGCCAATTCTACCATAGACGGTTAACAAGTTAACTGACAGGAAAATTATCAAATATCCATCAACCCTTTATCAAGTTTACTGTCCTGGCATTACATTTTTATTTCAAATATATCACTAAAAAGCAAATAAAGGGCATAAATGTAAACCTCGTCTTAGGTTTATAATTTTGAATACGAACATAGGCCTATGTTTCCATACCAAGGGATAAATGAAAAAGTTGCAAAACAAGAATTGTTAAGAGGACCCTAGATTTTTTCTGTTTTGCTTTAAAAATTCGGAATTATTATTGGTTATTTTCGAAAATCCATACCTCATCTGCCAGATTATGCCATAAAAAATTAATAAAATTCTTTACCAAAATATTTTCGGACTCAAATTTTTCAAAAAAAATAATGGGTCAGAGGTAATAACTGAAAAATCCATTTGGCATTTTTAAAGGTGTTCCATCTCTTAGTTTAGGTTTAAAGATTACTCCTCTGATTCCTAAAAAAATCAAATAATTTATTTTGAAAAGGTCCGAACGTTCTAAGGCTTCTGATTTCTAAAAAATCAAGTAATTTATTTTGAAAATGTCCGAATGTATCAGGGCTTCTATTTGTTGTGCCGAAAATAGTTATGGGATCTAAAAAATTCAATTGATTATAATCTTGGTAAAGACCAGTTTTAACAATTCAGCCGAAAATGCCAAATTGAATTTCCAATCAGCCATTGAGTGAAAAGAGACCACCTCAAAAAGATCGGCTGGGATAGGGTTTAAGGAAACCCAAAAAAGCAAATAAAAATGAATTCGATTATATGGCCAATGACAGTCGGCTAATAAATGCTCATCCAGGGTACCACATTCCAAAACTGTTATATTTTTCAATGAACTTAGTATTGAAAATCTTTAGTTGGCCTTCAAAATGTAAATGCCCTCAGATCCAAACAGATATCTTTAGTTGGCCTTAAAATGTAAATGCCGTCATTTCTCTGACCTAACATTTGGTCTTTGGATAACTAGCATTCAGATAACATAATAATATAGCACAAACAAAACACAAATTACTTTTGTTAACATTTAAAGTACAACCTTCACAGTACTTTGGGCATTTTTTCACCCAAAAATTAAGAAAATAAAAATACTTCCAAAATAAATATGGAAATTTCCATTAATTTTTATGGGGAAAGTTGCTAATTTATTTTCATCCTTAAACGGCGACTGTTAATTGGTCCTAATTGAAAATTACTTTGGTTACCATTTCGTTAATCTCTACTCTCTTGAAAATACTCTCTTCATTGATTTGCTGTTATTGCTGTTTGTTTGTTGTTTGTTTAGCTCTCCTTCTCGCCGCCATTACTCCATACCGGTGGTGATGCTCGCTGATGTTGTTTACAAAGAAGTTTCTCGTTTTCTATCGTCGTCTATGAATACCGTACTGCTAAAAAGTGTTGACCCCTTGTTTTTTATAATATTATTTATAAATATTTAATTATTACTATTTAATTTCTATGATTTCATTTCTTGGTTTTTATTTAAAATTCTTTTGAATTTCCACTTGTTTTTTTTTTCTCTATTACTCTTTTTTATATATTTTAATAATATTATATGTATTTGTTTAATTATGTTGTAGTTATGTTGCATGAGATTTTATAATTATGCCTTTTTTCTTGTGCTTCTTTTGTTCAATTACTAATATTTTTTTTAAACTCTTTTCTTTTATGTTGAATTCCATTTCGTTTTTCTTTTTGGCAAAATCGAATTATCATTTTCAATATATTTGTTGTGGGTTTTTTGTTATAAGAAATCACCAAAACAAAAATAAAATAACCTATGTTATTTGTTAAATTATTTAAAAAATATGCTTTAATTTATTTAGATTTAATTACTTGTTTCCGTGTTTTATTGCCATTGCAAAATGCGCTTCACTAAAAAAAGCTTAATCATAAAATACTCATGCGACTCAGGCTTTTGTTTTAAGTTTAAAAAAAAATCTGTATCATCATCATTTGTAATCACAAGCGCTTCAACACAAGATTTATAATCAAATTCAAAATTGCTCAATTTAAAAAAAATATATATTTTCACCTCAAATGTTATATACACACATAAATCTTGTGTTTTTACCAAATCCTTCCTTTGTCATCATTTTTTTTTTATCACCATTTTATTATTTATTTATGTTTAATTTTATAAGTGTTTTAATAAAAATATTTAATTTTTTTTGTATTGAAATATTAATAATAATTATTTGTACATTTGTTGTTTAATTAATAAAACAAAAAAACCGAAATAAAATTTGATAACCAATTCGATTTGTAGCCGTTTTCATAGCTTTAATATTTGTTACTTTCGCCAAACAAGAAAAGTTGCCGCCATTTTTTTGTTTATATTTCTTCTCTAAAACAATTTTAGCCCGAACACACAGGTAAGTTTAGAAAATATTCCGTATTTTTCTCAAAAACGGTAAATTAATTAAAGCGAACGACCGAACAACCTCACGCGTCCACTTCTGTTGGAAGACTAATTTTTGCTGTCTTGTTTTCGTTTCATCAACTAACGATGGTGGCAGCAGCAGCAGCAACATCACCAGCAAACAAGTCTCGTATTTGGTTTTTTTTTCTCATCGTACAATTCAATTGTTCACCCCACCAGGTGGTGACGTATTGCCCAACTAAACCAACAACAACACAATAAGCACTGCACAATGGCAAAAGCAACAACAGCAACAAATCACCAAGCTATTTATAAACTTACCTCCCCATTAGTGGTGGGGCTGGCTGGCTGACTAAATGTGTTGTTGACTTGTGTTGTTGCTGTGGTGGTGATGTTGTGATGTTTACTGCCAGTGTTACCAATAAAGTTGCAGCCAACCAAAAAATATTGGTCGATCTAAATGTATAATTAGGAAATTTTTCAATAGACTTTTTGTGTCTTATTTCACCTTTTATTTTAAAATTTGTTACCACATATGTATCACGATGACAGGTCTTTATGAAAATATCGCATGACACATTTTTCCGATGTTTCACTGGTGATTTGCTTGAGGCATACATATATCAATAGGATTTGTTACCTTTTTAGAATTGATACATCAATTTATTAATATAAGTTTATATTAATACACGATGGCTAATATTTTCTATATATAGCCGAAAATATTTACAAATTTTTCGAAAGAAGATTATGATTTTTTAATAGATTATGATTTTTTAATTTAATTTTTTTTTCAATTATATTTCCAAAAAAATGATTTTTAACAATTCAATAATGGAAGACTTCTTGCTAGATTTTTCTAGTATTTTATCGAAGGATTTAGATCTCGCTAATCTTTTTAACCTTTTGCCAAGCTTAAGGCTGTGAACACTTTTATTATTTGGCAATAACTCCAAATCGACTCCAAATGTCCCTTTCGGGACATCGATCTAGCGATGTCCGTCCGTCCGTGTGTCTGGCTGGTGCGCATGATAACTCTCGAAGGGAATATCCGATTTGATCCAAAGTTGGTACATCGTAATATTATTGTCAAACTTAGATACAGTTCCTCCCCCACAAAATGTTGAAATTTTCAAAGAAAATATTTTACTGCACAGAAAGAGAAAGCATCATCCGATTATGCTCCAACTTTCCAAATCCTAGTATTTGCATCAGCGCTAGGTCATGGAGAATATGGGTCCACTCCATCAAGTAAATCCTCCCCCACAATTGGGTAAAAAATTGAATAACTATAACTCATAAAATACGATATAAGTGTCCGATTGTCTTCAAATTACCCACATCACAATACTTTTGTTAGCCCAAAATCTGGTGTGAAGATGGAATATGTCGGTCCACTTCTTCTGGTACCTCCCCTACAAGGGGTCGAAATTAAAAAAAACAAGTAAGCAAAGGCTACAGTCGAGCGGGGCCGACCGTTGAATACCCTACAACACTATAATAAACGATACAGTTTATATAGACGAGATACTCGAAAGAATTCCACAAGATATTGTGACAAATAATAAAAGAAAACCATCAGGTTTCGTTCTCTAATTTTCGAATAATAGCAACTTTAACTAATTTGCTCATTTCCAATTTATTGGAAGATGTTGCACGTAAATGGTCTTCCCAGATCTGGAACCAATATTTCCCAAACACCTATAATCTCTCAAAAGTGGCAAAAGATTAACTTTTATTATTGGTTTTTGACTGAAACGCATCTATATGGGATACAGACATATGACTATATTCTTCAACGAAATCAGCGTTAACGACATAGTCAGAAGTGCGTCTTTCCTGTATTTGTGAATTCTCCAAAAAGTCTCTGGAATGGACATTTTCGTATTTTGTCTACAAAAGTTGGCAAACTCCTTCACACATTGAATATTTTTGGATGGCCATCCAAAACTGCTTGGCTTTTGCAATGTCCGGTAACCCCCACTTAAATATGCGTGAGGACCGGGCGATAATTACGACCTGCTGACAATTTTGCAGTTTTTGGTCCATTTCAACCCCTAAATATATGGCGATCATCTCCAAAAAGAGTAGGCTTCTACTCTGATCCTCATCTTATCCCCATGCAAAATTTCGTAAGGATCGGGCCATGAGTGCGATCTGTATATGATATCCTGATATCCTAACTACTTAGTTTTGTTAGCTGTAGAAATATTACCAAATGTTTAATTCAAAATGAAAATATGCCAAAAATATGACAAAATTGAAAAAATATGAGAAAATTTTACAAAATCAATGTTTTCCTCTTTAGAGAGATATTTTTATGCGATTTTTTAGACGTTTTTTCTTTCCTGCCAAGAGGCCATTCTGAATTAATGAGAACTGTCGAAATCAGTTCAGCCGTTCTCGACATATAAGAGATCTTTCAAGCATATCTTCTTTGATAGACATATATATCGCACATATTTTGCTATATATCCGATTTGATGGATGTTAACATCAATGTAAAGATCAGAAGTAACCTTGTCATGGCTTTGTGATTTCGCCGGGATTTAAAATATTCGCGGTTTAATGAAAAATTTTGAATTTTTTCAACACAAAAGATATGGTCTATTTTACCCGCTAAATATTATCCGATGACCACCCAAATTGGTAGGCTTCTTCCCCGCCCTAAACTCTAGCCACATGCGAAGTTCCGCGTCGATTGGTCTATAACTGCGACCTGTAAAGCTACTGCAAAATCCGACATTTTTTAAGTATTTGGTCCATTTCGACCCCTAAATATTATGCGATCATCTGCAAAAGAAATAGGGTTCTATTCTGACCCTAGCCCCACCTCCATTCTAAATTTCGTGGAGATCGGGCCATAATTGCGACCTGTAGAGTGATTACAAATTAACATGGACAGACGGACAGACGGACAGACGGACAGACGGACGGACGGACATACATAGCTAGATCGACTCAACTCGGCGAGCTAGGAAGATCCATATATACTTTCCTATGTGGGAAATCAATATTTCGAGGTGTTACATAATTTTTGGCCCAATCAAACTTATAATACCCCCAACACATAGTGTTGTAGGGTATAAATATTTAACTTCACAGTAAGAGAAACGACAATCCTAATTTGCTCCAACTTTGCATATCCTAATATTTGCATTGGTGCTAGGCCAGGTACGAAAATGAACAATGTCAGTACCTCCCCCTCAAAGGTTCAAAATGAGTTCATGAGTTCAAAAAACGTGAAATTAAAATCCGATTCCATTCAGACTTGGGACAGCTCAATATTTCTATTAACACAAGATCTGTTTTAACCAAAACGATCATAAAAACCGAAGTAAGCATTCGGTTCTCTTCGAATTATGCACATTCCATTATTTCTACTAACACGAGGTTTGCTATAAAGAGGGGATATATCGGTCCAAATTTCAAATCGGTCAAAATTTTGAATATGCATGAAGCTCATAAAAAGCAAAATTAACATCAGACTTGGTACATCTTCATATTTTCATTAACACAAAATCTGTTATAAAGATGGTACAGATCGGACCATTTTTTCTGGTACCTCCCCCACATAAGTTTCAAGATTCTTGATATAATAAGCATACAAATCTCTTCAAATTTCACACACAGAAACATTTCTGCAAACGCAAGATCTGTTCTGAATATGATATATATCTGCGAACCCCTTCTGGTACCTAACCCACAAAGGTCCACAATTTTCAATACTTGTATCTGTCATAACATGCGAAACAACTCAGTGATTCTTTACAACTTGCTATATCTTGCTATATATTTCTCTCAGCTTGAAACCTGAGATGAATATGGAATTTATGATTTCGCATAAAATTGGATATAAATGTTCGATTTTCTTGTAATTTTGCCCATACTAATATTTGTATCTGTATTAGATGAAGTGTGAAAATGGAATATTTCGGCCGATTATATCTGTTACCTCACTCGCATTTTAATATTTTCTAAAAATTATCACATATCTCATATATATTTATTTATGTCCGATACGAAATGGGCAATACTGGCCCATTCCTTCGGAACCTACTCCATAGAGGGTCAACAATTTGAATAATCATAACAGACGTCCGGATATATTTTAATAGTCGAACTTTGACTGATACTTCTTAACTTCTTAATTAAATGTTTTTAGAAAAAAGTTCCTGTGTAAACACCCGATCGATTACAATGAAAGACTATTTGAATATTTAAAAAAATCTAACAAAAAAACGCGTAAAATCCACTACATTGAAAACACTGCTACCTGCCATTTATTCACCACGGCAAAGTGATGTTGTTAATTGTGTTGCCATTTAGCCGTTAAATTTGATTTTTCTCTCAACAAATTAAGTGTGTTCCATTTTCCAAAACTAGACAGAACAACAAGAAAAACAAAAAAACAAACTTTACCTGTTTAACATGTAGACAGATACTGATATAAATATACATACATACATACATATACATATATATGCATTGTCTATTTATATATATCAACACCAAACACGCACAATTCATTTCTATGGCAATAAAGAAATGACAGAGGATTATCTTCTATCCATAAATATGTAGATATGTTTGCAAACATACATACACACAAACATGTATATATATGGGCCATGTGCCACACTTATAACTTGTGCCAAAAAAAAGAAAATCACAAAAAAAGAACAATTTGCTTCCATTTCTTTCGAATCGAAAGCGAAAGAAAACAAATCTCTTTATTTGTCTTAACATGACACACAAGCAATGTTCGATTTTCACTTTCATTTTGAAACAAACCCGAAAAAAATAAAGAAATTGTAAATAAATTTCCTTAAATGATTGACTAATTCCCCTATTCCTGACGAACAAAGAAAATAATATATTTAAAAAATAACAACAATGGGAATCAATATTTTTGGCTTTCTTGGTGGATTCCTTGTCTTTTCTCGTTTTTTTTTTTGAAATTCAAATTTGAATGACTAAATTAAATTTATTTTTCACACCTTGATTCATCATCATTTCGCCCGCTGGCTGGCTTGCTCGAAATGACAAATGTTGTTGTTTATTGACAAGTGTTTCGGTGATGGGATGACCAATAATCGCAAACATGACTCATCAGTCTACCTAGCCCTCCGAATACATGTGCATGTGTATGTGTGTATACCTTTGGAATCTCTATATA